TCATATATTATTCTTATTTTGTCAGCCAATTCTATAATTTAAATTGTTCTGGTAGGTTTTGATAACAGCAATAGCTGCTGATGCCTCACTATTTCTGTATTTATTCATTTCTGTGTATCTTATATGTAAACATAACTTTTGAATATACAATAAATTAAATTAATGTAATATATATTCGACATAATTTAATATGCGTAAAATGTCTAATTTAATTTTGTACATGTAAGGTATTTTGGATTTATAATTTATATACATAAGATAAATCGTATGCAATTTATATATATATTTGCGTTATGTGAGCTGTCTCCATTATTTTTGTTTATCTCGTATACTTTCTGATAGGCTTAGTAATAGTACTGCTTCACTTTACATAGCATTTTGCATTTTAAGTACGAAATAAATTAAATAAAATGAAAACAAATTATAAAAAAATTGTTATATATTGTTATACGTATAATATACATATGTATACATATAACAAATGTCAAGTAATTTGTTTAATAAAATATAAATAAAACTGAAATCGGTAAATATTTAACATATAAATAAACAAGAATAATACGGTGAATTGCACTCGTGATAATTCCAATATTGCGATCTTGCACCTGAAACTTTGAGTTTTTGCGTTGCAATATTAAAGAGACGGTGGCATTATCCAAGTCTCGACCTAAATTCTCAAATGACCGTTTATACTTGTAATATGTATAAAAATCCTCGTACAACGGATAACCGAATATCGCTGGAAAATATCGTGCACGTGCATTTTTCATTGTCACAATCATACCTACATTTAAATTATTCTCCATGTAAAATTCAAGCGTTGATAATATGGATTTGAGCTAGGAAACTTTTATTATTCGAGTAAATAATTCGAGACATTGGCTTAAAAAATAAAAAGATGAGAGAGAATTTTAAATTAATTGAGAGAAACATAGAAATTTTGTTGTGATCTTATTTGAGAATATTTGCCTTGTATATTTCCAATGCTACAATTCTTATATCTGTCAGATGGCAAACACAAAATTTTTGGCAATAATTATAATAAAAAAAATAGGGTATGCTAACGAATGGGCAAAATGTCAGAGCAGACGATGCGAAAGGGAGATCGAACGAAATATGGAAGGGAGATCAAACGTGCTGTATAGAGCGTGTCTTTTCTCAACTGCAGATCCCCTTGGATATCCGTTTTTCACTTTTTCATAGCAACAGTTTAGATGACACACAAGCCAAACACACTTTCCCAAAATTGTTCAATCTTCAATGTCAGATATCTCAGCGATCAGGAACCGACTTAAGAGGAAAACGCTCTTGGCATTCCGTATACGTCGCAAATGATACTTTCGTCTGTCGGCATGGCTCCTGAAGCATTTCGTCATAACTTCCTCGGCGTAAGAGGGTTCCTTTAAGACACGAGGAACTGGAAACATCGGCTTATCTCCGTGCCGTCGTCTAAGCAGATGAGGATATTGCAAGCGAGCGAGCGAACACATTCATCCGATGCGAACTCACGGATGGGGGATGATCCCTCTGGGTAGAGTTCTTCGCAAAATTCGAGTCGTGAGATGAAAGCACAAAGAATTTACTGCGTTCTCGCGGCGTAAGAAGGGTAAGGAGCCGTGGTGCTCTTATCGCGCGCGGAAAACGCAACGAGAGAAACGCGCTCTAATCCCGTACCGCCCATAAATACCCGTTACTACACTGTAAGAAGACCGGCGGGAAATTTATTGTACGCTTTACTTCGGCAAGAATGGATATTCGACGGGAAAGCACAATGAAATTACGGGCGCATCGTAATGCGCTAACTGTTAAGAGGAGCAGGAAGCTTGAAATCTCCTTGTTTCGTCGTCACAATGCGACGTCGATGCGGTTGGATGAAATTAACGCGCGTCGGGACTCCGAATACGATGTTTTGTCGAGTGAGAGAGATAAGTGAAATAGCATTCTGCCAGCGAAAAGAAAAAGAGAACGATAGTCGCGAAAATGTTGAAACGTTGTCTCGGTGACAAGCTCGTTGCTCGACGAGTGAAACGAAGGATCCTTATTATCCGCGGTGAAATTCAGACTACAATTTCCTGCTCGTGGAAAATTTTCTCGAGAACAAGCATAATTTCGATGTTGAAGTAAATAAAGTAAAGTACATAATTAATAAGATCCATAGATACTTAATTTCCCAGATTTATAATTAAATTATCACCCAAAAAAAAAATATTCTGCCATTTAGCGGTTCCGTGTTAATGTCAGAGGATTTTGCATTTATATATGACTTCAAGAGGATACTCTACAAAATAAAGGAATTTCGTATAATCCTAAAGTACTGGATTTAGGATTGCGATCCTCTCAATACTAGAAGAATATCTTGCATGTACTGACATGGAAGCGTACTATTGTAGCACGTAAATGACAAATCTCTTCTAACAATTGTAAGCGTGCCGCTAGTATTTTGTGTATCCTTTTATTTCAAAAGGCTATTCGAGTTATATATATATATATATATATTATAATAGAATATTTTATAGAGAAATTTATTTTTGATCATATGTCCTCATTTTTATAGATGAATACATGTATAAATACACGCACCTAATTAATATAAGATTAATGTAAGATTTTTTGCTTAGAGGAAATGCTAAGAGGAATTCCCCGCTTATCGGCAGAATATTTTTTTTGGGTGATAAATCTTACAAATTATGTTACAGAATTTGATCGATTCTAACTGCAAAATTCCACGCTGACTCTTTACGTTCATGGATATTTGCAAGTCTTAAAATTTTAATCCTTCCATCAGTGTAAGCGAATTTTTTGTCTCTGCTTGAAAACTTACGATGTTTTTGGCACTTAGCTGGATACGATTTCTACTTTTCGTTTCACGGAAAAAGAGAAGACGGATTTATACCATCGTCAAGTATTCACGTCTTCGAGTTAGAAGTCGAAAGCCAAGGAACGCGAGAAATCACGTAACGGATCGTATACAGTATAGCGAATGGTATACGTACGTCCTGAGAATTCATGGTGTGTGTAGTGAGGCTCCGTAGGTTCCCAAGGTGCATCATATGTATAGCTATCGTGGCTTGCACGTACTACGCGGACCGACGAGAATGTCAACATGCCGGCATGCGATGGTAGATACTGATGCAGCGCCTGGTAGGAGCGTATGTACGTAAAGCTCGCACATTAGAGACGATAATGGGCATGAGATGACGACCAGGAGATCACGGTAGATGACGGCAAATGCACGTGCAAACGCACGTAAAGTAAAATTTATGCTGCGACTCCCCTACGGCTAAGTCTCTTCTGTCGGAACAGATACATGATATATGAAGCAAAGAAAGGGAAATAAAAATAGATGTTGGAGATAAGAGAATGGAATTACGATCGGTTAATTTAAAAAGGAAGGAAAGTGGAAGACGTCTATTTACTTCGGAATAAATCTTACGTCTTATGTGCCGTAATTACCAAGAGGAAAGCGAGCTCTATACATCGGCTTGTAAACAATAACGTAAAATGGAAGAAATGAAATTGAAGATAGTAAATGAAAAATTTCAAGAAACGAAACGAAAGAAAATTAAAAGAATGAGAAAGAAAATAAGATTGCGAGATTGTTACAAACAGAAGACTACTGTTAGTTTAATTTCTCCTTTATTACAAACGTCAAATTGATATAATGGCATAATTGTTTTTCGCGGATTAGCTCATCTTTAAATAAAGAAACGCAGCTTAAGAGAAAGAAGAATGAAGCAAGTCGGATCAAAAGAATTTTCAATCTAGATGTTATCTTTTAATTCTATGCAGTCTCTTATTAAAACGAAGATTGGCGTGCAGCAAAATAAGCAACGAATAAAGCAAATAATTCTCTCGCATAATAAGCGATAAAAGTAACAAAAGCACAATGTAAAAAGCCGTGTTCTTTATTAGTGCGCAAGAAACTTGCTCGTTATGAAATAATCGTATAGTTACTTCTAAAGCTGTAAATGCGAACCTTTTTAAATCAGCCATTGTGTGAGCGAGCGTTAATTTGCTAAGAAATGAAGTAAATGTGAACCCGGAAAAGTTCGCGGGAGGAAATTACGTTTAATCGATCGAATATCGTTTTAATGAAAGAACTTTAATCAGAGAAACATTCTTGTTGGACATTCGCGCCAACGATATTATCAAATGTAAGTGCAAATGTAAGCGATTTACAATAAAAATCCTCGTTATTAAGACATTGAGAACGAATATTAAGGATATACCGTCTGTACAAAAAGTGACTGGAATTGAAAATTCACTTTTCGTACAAAAATGAATGTTATTACATATGTATGAAACAATAAGATCAATTTATATTCAACAATATAATTTTATAGTTTAAATGACAAAAAATTTTTGGATTCCATTTTAATTATTTTTTAAAATCATGTTTACTTCTTATAGAAATAATTTTTTATCCAGGTTCTAAATTGCTCCTAAATTTTTTGTATAACTTTTAAATACAATATAGAAAAATTTTGTTAAAACATATATGTAATACATCTTGAAGTAAGTGTCCGCTGGCTTTCCGAGGCTCTCGGATCGATATGGCTATTAAGCTAGCCAACATAAGCACAATTACATGAGACGTACGGAAGATTTAGTGCCCTTTATGTGCTAATTTATGTGCTCTAATAACCCCTATATCCTATATATCTCTTTTACTGCAAAAGCAATCAACAGAATCCCATGAAACTTTCTACACTGTCCTAAAAATATATTGTCTGCTGATTTTGTGCTCTATCCCTTACGAGCGAAATCAATCACAAAGAGTGCAAAAGAAAAGTACCGAAAATAATAAATATACAGTTTCTCAATAAAAAACTTTTATAGGATTATAGAAATAGTAATAATTTTCTATAAGACTATACTTTATAGGAAAGCATTATTAAATATTTTCCGTACATTTTTCTTGCATGCACGCACGCTTTGGGGTTATTTTTACGCATAAGGTATACAGCACAAAAATTGTCAGCTCAGTATACTCAGTATAGTTCATAAGATAGTGTATGGTATATAAAAAAAATTTCATAAGAGATTCTACTGACTGATTTTATAGCAAGAAGGACGTACAGAATGTAGGAGCTGTTTTCCATAAATGAGGCTGGAGCAATAAAATCGATCAATATATGTATATTTTATGAGTAATAAAATCATTAAATAAATTATAATTGAAAATTGGTCAAAATCATTAGTATTCTTAGTATTTAATTTCTCTTGTATGACACCTACTTTTTGTTTTCAAAGTAAAGGGTAGTGCTCTGAAATTTAAACTAGTGTATATTAAGAGCACATAATTAATACTAAGATTCAGTAGTGTTTTATTATTACTATTATTTAAATAGGCATTCTAAATTTTTTACAAATGTAGCATGAAACAATGTTTTGCTAAACGGCTAGAGCAGTAAAATTAGGATTAGAATAATAAATTAGCACATAAAGAACACTAAGTTTCATGTGATTGTGTTCATGTTAGCATGTTAGCTTAATATAGACGTTGGATCAATCTTGGAAAATTCATATTCTTGTTTCCAAAGATCGCTGCTGTTCAACGCGTGTCGTAAATTCTGTAGATGATAAATTCATGACGCGTCGAAGATAGTTGATTACTTGTCCATCGACGAACACGGACAGGTCATGAAAAGTCCAAATTTGCGATCGTCGAGCTAGTATATCATCACGACGCTCTAAGTGAACTGTATATCAGAAGATGTCATTTTCTATTTTCGTGCAACATTTTATGAGTGTAGGAAACGTATAAAACTCAGACAACTTTTTCACTATTTCGAATATCACGTTGATATCGTCGGATCAGATATATATTACCGTTTCACTCCGCGGTGAGCTCAGCAAAATCCGCGGAAAATTTTCACTTTTCACCTTTTCGTTCCTACGAAGATTATACTCGATCGATTTTCCGAACAAGCATGACGAAAATACAAATCGTGCGCTTTCGACGAGAGCGAGGTTAGCGACTTTATCCAAATATTATGATTTACTTTCCACATTATAATCTGCAATCCCAAAATGATTACGTGTGCTTATTTGTGTAAAAAAAAAAAATGTTTCGGGTAAATTCTCCGAATTTATGCTTCAATCACATTTCTGCGATCAACTGCGCAGATATCTGTACGATAGAAGTACTACTGATTGTGATTTGCGAGAGACAAAAAAATATTTTATATCGCTGATACACTGTATGAGGAACACAACGCGCGATCGAAAAAAAAGTTTTATCTCTCTCTCCACAAAAGAGAATTCCTAAAGAGGAGCTTTTCCTTAATGATTATTTATGTCAAATCTCATTCATTTTTTCCTTCGTGCCAATACAAGCCCCCGTTACATATATACAAGGTGTCCCGAAATTCGCGCTTAAATTATTGCTTAAAATAAAAATTTACAAATAACATTTTTACTTAATTTTTTATTTAATTTTATACTTAATTTTTCGAAAACTTTCTTGATGTGATATTTTGATTCGCAAATTTTGATACACCCTACATACAGAATGCTCCGTTTTCAGGTACGTTAATGTTTAATAATAGACTCTTTAGCAAACTAGAAATGAGTTTCTCTGCAGGGAATAATGAATGTTAAGAAAATAGTTAATAATGAAAATTAAGGGAGAATTTTCGCGAAATTTGGATTTTCCAAAATACACATGAATAATAACGCTAGATTTAAATAATGATAGATGAGCTTTAACAGCTATTCGAAAAGGTGCTTACATGTGCATGTAATGTTAATAGTCAATTGCTTAAAGAGTCATATCAACCTAACAGAGTATAAATTTAAAATTCTTTTTAAGTCGATGACGTAGAATTCATTTCTAACTTTAGAGATATATTATACAATATCTAAGTTCTATCTCTTCTATAAATTTGTTAAGTATTAAAGATTTTAAATGTAGGTTGTGGAATAATTCGCTCCGCAGCGGCATGAGTAGACAGATTTTCGGAGACGGGCACGATGGAATAAAAAAATAAAACGTTTTCTTATAACTAGATAGAATAGCGAAAATATAATGCAGGATTTTTTGTTAAGAATTGTAAAAAAAGATTTAAAGAAAAATTCTTTTGCTTTAAAAAACAAAATTAAAAATTTATTCTAAATAAATGAATTAATATATTTAAAAAAATCCTACGTTATTTTTGTCTACTTACAAAAAAATATTTCACTTTTTTATTTCAGGCCACTTTTGCCATCAAAAACCTGCCACCAGTATTTAAATATTTCTTAAAATTTCTTTAAAATTTTTAATACGCAAATTTATAAGAGAAAAAAGTTTCAATATTGTACAATATATCCTTAAAATAAAAATTAATTTTACGCAGAGAAAGAAAGTAGTTGATTTTTAAAAAATCTTGAATTTTAGACTTTGTCGGATAATATATCCTTTAACGACTCAATTAAATGACGAAAAAGTGTTAGAAATATTTCATTCCTTACTTTAAAGTCAAATGTCATATAGAAACGCAATTAGTGTCACGCGCGCGTGGTCGACCCATAAAAATAGACCCACATAAACATAAAGTGTTCACTTTGCTTCAAGTCATAACAAAATAAAAAAGTTATAAAATTCTTTCGTGCAATATTACACTTGTCCTCGTTAAAAGTACGCTCGTTAAAGACTTTATATAATTTTTGTTGTAGAGAAAAATATTCGTGCAAGCATGAACCAACTAAATCACAAAACCAGAACAGCCGCATTACGACATGTTTATTTAGTCTGAACAGTTCTACATTACGGAAATCCACAATTTTCACAAGTAACATTATTCATGTTTTCACCGCATTATAAACTATAGCCAAGTAACGCTGCGCATCTAATGCGCACCAACGAGGCTTTCTCAACATCATATGTATTTATGCACGAAGGCTATTGTACAAGTTGAAAGTAATATATATATATATATATATACATATACACACACACATATATATACCCGAAACGTACCACTTCACGCTCTAACCAAAGTTTCAAAGGATCTAATAAGCATTTGCCACCGCAAACAATTCTATTACAGCGAAACAAACGCGTTGGAAATGTACAAGGAAAATCAGAAGGAAGTGCAATAAATTACCAATGTCAGCTCTGATATCGTGCAATTCATTCAAACACACCTCTCAGTTGGATAATATGCTTTACAGCTTGATGTCAAACTACTAATTTTCCTTTGTGGCGCTTTTAATTAATTTAGAATCCCTCAAATTTTCCTTATAATATGACAACATTATGTGTAACATGATTTATTATTATATTCAAGAACTCAATCTAGATAGAAATCGACAATAAGATTACCATATACACAATTATACATTATGTAATAAATATAATAAAATTCATGAAGCTATAAATAAGATCTTATTTTATTTCTTCTTTTTTTGTTTAATAGTTTTAAATACATTTTTAATGTATTTTATTTCTATTTTAAGATTTTGAATTATTAATACTTTAAATTCTTCTCGTTGATTTACATAGTATAAAGACAATTTTAAAGAATTTTTTAAATAGGAGAAAATGCGCGATAGAGAATTTAAATTTAATAAGTGTCTATTTGTATCTTGAATTATAAAAAATTGTATTTATTAAAATACATAAACACATACAGATATTTATTCTTGTAACGTCTACAAAAAATAAATCTTCTCTTTTAAAATTATTAGTATTATAATGACGAAACAAATATTCTGACAGAAATATGTTTTAAACACCTATTTTATTTCAATTGATAAGAAGACTCCCTTAAATACGTAATCAAAAATAGAAAAATAATATGAAAGAGATATTCAATAAATTTCTGCTAAAGAAGAATTGATTGCAGTTTTCCTAGAGGCGAAAATTTGTCTAGCGGAGAATTTAAAATCATTTTGGAGTATAAAATCAACCTGTGCATGACACGAGGTCGTCGGCTGATGGGAACGTCAATATATTAAAACTATGGTGCGGCGAAAAATTATCGGATTTAAACGAACGGGGCACGCGAAACAATCATCAGGATGATATGTATCCACCATACGTGATATGCGCCCGAGCGAACGCGCGAAGATATAAGTAATAATTTATGAGCGCAAAAGCGGGAGTGGTATAAAATCAATCAATTTGACGTTATCATCGACGCGCATAAAACAAGCCGACTGTAATAAAAATTAATGTCTAACATCGTGCTAAGCAAGCAAAAGGGAGATAAACGATGTGGAAATTGGGAAAAGGGCTGATCGTGAGAATCGCGAAGGAAAGTGTCTGGCGTAGAAATAACAGTTCGATAACAGGTCCTGTTCTTACTTGGATAACTCACGTGGGAACGTCACGACAAATCATCCTTCTTTTGAATCTCCGTGGATCTGCGCAACATATTTTTCGAGAATCCTGAAAGAAGGACACGTTATGTGAAAACGCGCTTTTATTTTATTTCGATCACTTGGGATTTAATGGAAGTACCCGTACATTTCTCTGATGTCACCCTATATGAGCTGTCTACTTCTACCTCTACTACTGAAGCCATTATTTCTGAAAATTTATCCTTCTGAGATGAAAAAAACAAATGAAATGAACTGAAAGTGAATGTTTCTTGATGGATATCTTCTGTCAGAAATAGACTTTTACTTTAAGGCTTTATACCAAATATATTTCACATTAAAGTATAAAAAAGTAGAAAGGGTTTCTTTCTTTTAATTAAAGATTTTATGTTCTAAATTAAACATTATTTTAATTAATTATAAATTTTTGTACAAATTATGCAGCACATGATATTTTCACATACATGCCCCTCCCCCACCTAACCAAATCTTAATGAAAAAATTATGTAATAATGCGCTATTTATGCGCTATTCATATTTGCAAACAAAAATTTTTGCGCTCCTTCCGCTCCTTCCGAATATGTCTGTTTGTTCCAAGAAGGAAGTGCCTTAAGGGTTGCAGCGCAAAAATCGAAAATGCTTGGAAATAGTAGCGCATAAATAGCGCATAAATTCTGTGTATTTAATTTTTCAAATCAATTATTTTTAATGGATGGGGGGGCTGACTGACTGCCTACTCAGCCCCCCACAAAAATTTTTTTTAGCTAAACGGAAGGAGCGCAAAAATTTTTGTTTGCGGATATGAATAGTGCATAAATAGCACATTATTACATAATTTTTTCATTAAGATTTAGTTTTCATTAAGGTTAGGTGGGGAGCCAGCCTAGGTAGACGTATCTCTCATGAAGTTTCAATAATTTTGCTGATGAAGGCAGCTAAATATTAATATTTTACTATTCAATTTGCAAAGGCAGATAATTTAATATTAGTTCCTCGGCAGCAATTTGCATCGTTGATAAGTTCGATGTCGATCGACCGATTCGTGCAAGAGGAACGTCTCTGTTAGAACTGAAGACAACCAGAGATAGAAGGAATAAGGACATATATATATATATATGCACATATATATATATGTACATAAAGAGATAGGTTTGTCGAATTTCATAGGAGAGCAGTGTAATGAAATCGGCGCGCACCCGGAAGTGACATATCCGGCTGGTTGCGGTAGGTCAGACACGTACGTAACCAATATTCAGAATGTTCATGTGGCATACCAAGGACTTTCCACGACTACCACAAAGCCAACCAGTCACGAGTCTCGTCCCACGGGTCGCCGTCTACACAACCGAACCCCTCAGCATCCGGGTTCGAGAAACCAGGATTCCGTGTTGGCATGCTCGTTGCTCTCCCCTTCCTCTTGCGCTGACCATTGCGTGCCCAAACTACCCTTCGATCAACGACTTACTAACCAGCCTTGGTTATCCCAAACGGTGGAACAATGTGTCTGCCGCCATGGTACTTAAACTATTTCAGCGCGATACGTACGAGTTAAGTAATGCTGTTCCACCGAGAAAATTTACAATTTGTCATCCCGTTCATTCTTTATTTTCTTTTAATATACATATGCGTTGAGCAATGTATTCATTGAAACGATCATAAGATTCAAGATAACGCTTTTTATAGGATTAACGTGAATAATTGCAGTAGTCAGCGTCAATGATTTTCTGTTAGCCTGAAACGCCTGAAATCGAGCATCGATCGAATTTTGGAGCAAATTTTCCATTATTCTATTTAAAAAAAAATAAAAATTTTGATATGATCAGAATAATCTAAAAAGTTTAATACAAAATTCTATTCACAAATTTAATTCATAGTCAATAACATTACAACATGCATAGAATTGGATTGAACGAATAAATTTAAGCACTTGATTCAAGACGTTCATAATATACCAGATTTTATCATTTTTAATACCACATCTTAAAATGTAAGAAATAGTCTACAAATTATGTCTAGATTGAAGAAAAGCAATAAAGGGTTTTTGTTAAACTGCATCGGTAGAAATAATGAACGTTAAGCCTCTTTCTCGTTCTAAGCTTCGTTCTACAGCATTATTGATTCTTTCAATTTGTTACTCTGCAAAACGGAAGCGGGTTGCATTACGCGGCCGAATTGACTATCCACCTTCCTTGTGAACAAGAAAGTTTTAATTGAATCTAGTGGCAAACGCGATCGTTCGAAAACTGCCCTATCAGCTCGCAAATACGATTGATATAAATTAGTAATACAGGAAGATAGGGAATGGAAAGAAAGAAATAAGCGTTTATTTTTACGCTTTAAAATATGAAATTTTTAAAAGTATAAAAGAGAATAACTTTAAAAAACGTCATTATTAATGAGATAATTAAAAAATAGGAAGTTTTTGCAATAACGTGAATCCATATACGGTGAACGCTAAAGTCACGTTATCCTTTTCTTAATATACTTGTTAAGAAGAAGATAACCTAATCTTAGCGTTCACCGTATCTGGATAAACGCTTGCAAAAACTCCCTATTGACTTATTTCTATACGACTAGCAAAAAAAAAATTTTTAATAATTTATCGAATGATATAATTAACGAGAACAATAACAATTAATATAATTAAAAAACAGAATTAAAATTGTAAGTACGTGCGCATCGAAAAAAACGCAGCAATGAAACGACAGTGATGCATACGCAGTGAAAGAAAATCTTTCGCATTCACCATCGTATCGCTATCGTCGATGACTTATTCTTTCCCAGAAAGGGATTAAAAGGATTCTTACGCTATCCTTGCTCGAATGAACAACGGCTAAAATCTCTCTTCTTCCGCTTATAGAAGCCTGCGTGTCGAACAATCACGCTTGTGCACACATACAAAAGCCCGGGCCAAGCTTTTGTTCCCCTTTTGCTTTTAAGTTCTCCGATGAAGTTCGAGAATACAGATGAAATCCTGTGTTAGCAGCCATATACGCGTGACACTTCAAGAAATGAAAGAAAGACAGAGAAAGAATAGAAAGAGCAGAGAGAGAGAGAGAGAGTGAGAGAGAGAGAGTCGAGAAGAGACAAACATACCGTAAGAGAAGATGAATGCGAACTTGCAGTCGAGACGGAGAAAAAGGACGAGAGAAGAGCAGTTGGGAAACGGAAAGGCGAACAGAAGGAAGGAGAGAAATCGGAACTGACGGAACGGACGGACGTGGTCGTGCCATGAATGAAATGAGACTTTGGACGACCACCGGGAAAGCCAAGTGCATCCATTGCAGTCGAGTTAGTTGGCGGTGCAAAGGAAAACTCCGGTACGTGCCTGCAGAAAGCATAAATTCCAAATGTTCGTACTAGCGATTTACATTGGTACAGTAAGGAGATCGCCGGTAATATCGCTATGTACATCGATATCGTAACTGAGAACAACCAAGACTTATATGGTGTGACTTGAAAGCAAAGATGGGAAAGAGGAATACGTCACTTGAACTGTGATTTATGAAATAACGTAAAATTTTAATAAATAATTACGTAATGTACATTAATAAATATTAAAGGATCAAATTTAAACCAATTTCTTGAGTTAAATAACATTTTGTTACTTTTAATCTTCATGTGCAACCCATTTCTGCGATCAAATTGCTTAGTTTCAAAGTAAACAATATCCTGTTAATGTATGCACTTAATAAATAATAAACCAAATTTTAATGAAATTTAATACTTCTTGACTTAAATTATTTAACTTCATTGCTTTAGTTGAATTACCGACATATCGAGTAAAAGTCGAGGTAAGAGCGCTGCCTTTAGGAATGATTAAAAAAGACTCAAATTGGATGTAATTTGTCATTATAAATTTAACAGCGTATGACATAAACTTGCGAAGGTTATCTTCAAACGCTGTAGAAAAGCGTCGGAATATGGACAAAGTTTTAATGTCCACAATCACAGTCAGGGAAAAATGAATGACGGAGTGCGCGGAGTGATATTTCAAATAATTGACGAAGATATTTAAAAATAAGCAGCTATGAATAGTCGCTACAAATGTGACAAAAATATCTGTCCTTGCGTAAAATACCTATAAGCCCTTGTGATGATACGATGTCATGTATCGATGAAGTAATTGGCTATGCGAATTCATTGCGCAAACAACGATGGGAAGTAAATATGAACAGGTTGATGCGACGCACATTGATGATACCGTTGTTTTGTTAGCTAAGTGCAAACAGAATGTGTTAAAAGGTAAACAATTGTAATTACAGATACTCAAAAAATAATGAACGAAGAAGAGTGTTTAAAAGGAAAATATAAAAATATCTTACGCTAAAAGTGAAATACAAGATAGCAATTACAATTTTGATCGACTTCTATACCCCTACCGGATATATCAGATAAAATCTTCACGAATAAATCATAAAAAAGTTAAATAACATATTTATCCAACTTGTCAAATTGTTAACCCTGATATAAAGATCGGATATCTTCGTGTGGAAAATTGAACGCCTGGACACGAATATTAAATATGCCATTTTTTCTGAACTCACCGCAGGCCACATAATTCAACGATAAAATCCACCGTCGTAAAATTATCGGCAATCTACCTTCTCTGGCCTTCACATTTTTAAAATAACGCCGAACTCGACCATCAACGACGCTGATCGTGTCGCCGGCTACAGGTAAGCTGTCATTAACTAATTGTGAAAGACTCCCGCGGTTCCGAGGCTGAATAGAGCGCTTGATTTCATGGCCGCGATATTATGGTTCTTGCGTGCATTTAAAAACACCTCGGAACCGCCCTTCAACACCCACTCGCGAAATAGATTTGCAAACGCTCACCGCAAAGAGGTGCTCGACGGTATGAACGAGTTTCAAAATATAACTTCGTTTTATCTTACATCTATATTTTGTGAGCGTTTAACACATTCGATCTAAATGATTTAAGCCCTTAGATGAGTTCGGCCAATATAATTACTGTTCATTGTCTGGATTTGTTAAACATCTGTTTGTTGCTGAAAGTACATCGTATACGACGTATATGAAAATTATTTATCTTACTAAACAAATATGATTTAAACGGAATATCTCTTTGATATTGAGAATTAAAAAAACTATATATGAGTTTTATATATATATATCAAAGTTATATATGTATATATATATATCAAAGAAAAAATTAAGAATTAAAAGATTATTAGAATAATTTGTTTACTAGAAAAGAAAGCTGTTATATCAGATTATTAAGGAAAAATGACACGGTAATAAACTATATTTCGATATTAATTAATCGAATTTTTGTGCGGAGTTTACGTTTGTTTAGTTAAAATATCATATCGCTCATTTTTGCTATAACAATAATACAACTCAAAAAAGAAAGTTTTCTAGAAAATAAGTTTGAATATTGTGAAGAACGTTTTGTAATATTAATTTTAAAATGCAATTGTAATGTAATAACTGATTGTAAATGAATAAAAGTAAATGAATAGAAGTTATTTTAAAGTATAGTTTTTTGTTTATGTTTCGATTATTTTTCTATATATAAGCAATAAAAAAATGACAATTTTTAAGTTCATTGTTGTAAATATGAGCGATGTGATTTACTTTAAATTAATTAGAAATTATATGTTTGTGCAAGGACACAGGAAGAATGTGTATCTAGGTCTAACTACATATTGATTTTTATTTGTGAACAGTTGTACCGATACATAGTACATAAATAGCTCCAATACGGCCTATATGTATGAAAAGACAGCGACTAGTTAATAACAGAGCCACATCATAATATATGTAGACTACAAATCAATAACACAATTAGTGTTCTATTTCTACGTAACATCGCCCATTCCGAAGTACATCTATCAGCGTGTACTTAATCTATCTAAATATAATCTAAAAAAAAAGGAAAAAAAATTATAACAGCTTTCTCTCTTCAACTGTTTACCTTTGAAATTAATTGCTACATCAGTTTAAAATCATTTTTACTCATTTTAATTATCTAATTGTGTGTTAATAATTTTACTTTGATTATCTAATTAATCGCGTTCCTTCGCTAAAAAATCATAAACAAATGAAATTATTTGTTAAATGAAATGGAATTGCTGCATTAATTTATACGTCGTGAATTGTCCGTGTATCACGATCTTATAATACCAGAATATCGTTAAAAAATGACAGTGAACGTATCGAGGATTCTTTCAAACGGGATTTTTGCCAAAGCTCCTAAAGCAAAGTACCTTTAGAGATTACGCTCGGATACCGCGCCACATCTCGTATCTATATACGGAAATTCTTGCTTTGCAACCATTTCCGCACACTCGAGCAGAGGCTCCTGCGAATACCGCGATACGTTTCAGTCTTCGTGAGTCACGTTTAGTCTATCTTGGCAGCTTTCGCTTTGTTCTTTCGCGATACTCATGCCGTGATAACACGCGATCCAAAATCCAGGTGAACTCTCGTGAGAGGTCGAGTAAACCGCCGATCACAATCACGGGACGCAGATGTGCTTAGCACAGGCATTTTTCTTATATTCATTTTCAATCGTTACAAATCTAT